CAGACCCCAGTGTGTAGTGCTCCCCTCCCTGTGTCCATGTGTTCTCACTGTTCAACACCCGCCTATGAGTGAGAACATGTGGTGTTTGATTTTCTGCTCTTGAGTCAGTTTGCTGAGAATGATGGTTTCCAGGTTCATCCATGTCCCTATAAAGGACATGAACTCATCGTTTTTTATGGCTGCATAGTATTCCATGGAATAGAAATATGACCTACCTTTCAACCGCAAACTTGATCCTCCTTCAGGATTCCCTGTGTCAGTTAATGATACCATCAGTCTTCTCTTCTACAAACAAGAAACCTAGGAGTCATCTTTGATGCTTTTGCCTCTCTCTCTGCCTATGCCTAATCTTGTTGATGTTACCTCTCAAATTGTTGAGAGGTTACTTTTTAAATAGCTCTCAAATCTGCCTACTTTCTCCACTGCTCCCATGCTAGTCTAAATTTCCAGAAACATTCGCCTGAACCACTACAATTTTCTCCAACTTGATCTCCCTGTGTTCACTTCTATTCTCTATAATCGATTCCCCTTATGGCAGCCAGAATGACTTTTCTATGAAAATACTTGCTAAACCCCCACTCAAGCCATTTCAATGGCTGTTCAATGTACCATTGAAGATGGAGATGGAGTCTTCTCTGTTGCCTAGACTGGAGTGTAGTAGCATGATCTTGGTTCACTACAACATCCACCTCCTGGGTTCCAGTGATTCTCCTGCGTCAGCCTCCAGAGTAGCTGGGATTACAGGCATGTGCCACAACACCCAGCTAATTTTTCTATCTTTAGTAGAGATGGGGTTTCACCATGTTGGCCAGGCTGGTCTTGAACTCCTGGCCTCAAGTGATCCACCCACCTAGGCTTCCAAAGTGCTGGGATTACAGGCGTGAGCCACCGCACCCAGTCCTACTCCTCCCTTTTCTTTCCATACCTCTATATATTTATCTTCTTTTGGTTCTTCATGTTTTCTTTTGCTCTCTTGCCAGAGATACTCTCTACCCCCTTCACATTATCTAAGTTTTTCTTCACACATCAGCCCAATATTTATTTCCTATTTCTGTGTTCCTTATCTAAAAAGAAAGAGTAAAACCTGTATAACCCAAGTCAGTCCAAGAGCTTCTGTTCACGTCCAGGTCACTTATCCATAAATGAGACTTATCTTCTTTTCTTCTATCCATTGAGACAAGTTCTAAAGTTAGATAGTTTGGATAGGTCTAAAAATTACAGCTATTTATATTGCTGAGAATGAAGGAATGCTAAAAGCCTATTATGTTATCATTATTATTTTGCAAATGAGGAATCAAGGCTGTATGGGACATATGGCCCAGTCATTCATGTGATACTTGAATCCCTTCTATGAACAGACCATGTACTCATTCTGTTCTGAGCACTCTTCCAATATTCATCAGATCCAACACTCTTCCATGTTCATCTTATTTCTCATAAAGAAAGAAAGAAGAACTAATCCTACTTTTCTGTTGGAATGATGGATTTTTTTCTGGAAATAATGTCTCCTAATGTATGGTCATCTCACAATCTATATCAGAATTTCATGGTGCTCCACCTATAACTACAGATTATTGAGTACCCACCCTGGAGTCACTCAAATTATGAGTTACTCATAAATGTACATAAAATGCTCCATCATGATCATTAGAATTTGCATCAAATACAGTACCAGAGGCCAAAGGCCTGAAACAATAATTTCTAGCATATTTCCCTTATTTAACACTGTGCCATTTCTATTGGAAAAGTAAAGGTGGTTAATCTAATGCTTTAGTCTTAAAGATTCCATGCCAAGAACTAATAATGACATTTTTGCCACCACCACCACCACCACAACCACCCAACCACAGCTAGCAATCAAAGAGAGGCATTCATCACAGAAATGGTTAAGTACCTAACTGAATAGTCATTAAAAGCTTATTACATGTATATTTTTATTCAAACAATGTTCAGTAAACACTTAATTTTTTTATAAAATGTATGCACTGAATGTCTGTCTTCTCTATGCCAGGCTTGTGCTAGGTCCTGGGTATACAGTTGTAGGTGAAATTGATATGGTCATTGCCTCAGTGAACCTACAGACCAGTAAGGGACATAACCATCAAACAAGGAAATCCACAAATTATTATTGAATTACAAATTATGATAAATGCTATTCATTAAAAAAAGAAACAAGAGGCTGGGTGCAGCGGCTCATTCCTATAATCCCAGCACTTTGGGAGGCTAAGGTGGGTGAATCACCTGAGGCCAGGAATTCAACACCAGCCTGACCAATATAGTGAAACCCCGTCTCTACTAAAAATACAAAAATTAGTGGGGCACGGTGAGCCTGTAGTCCTAGCTACTTGGGAGGCTGAGACAGGAGAATCACTTGAACTCAGGAGGTGGAGGTTGCAGTGAGCTGAGATTGTGCCACTGTACTCCAGTCTGGGTGACAGAGTGATACTCCATCTCAAAAAAAAAAAAAAAAAAAAAAAAAAAAAAAAAAAAAAAAAAAAAAAAAAGAAAGAAAGAAACAAACAAACAAACAAACAAGAGAAAGCATAACATATTCATGATGAAACAAGAGAATTCTGGTGTGCTTAAAGCAAAAGATATGAATGGTGAGTAATCAGATTATGAAAGTTTTTGCATGTCATCTTAAGGACTTAAAATGTTAGGGCAGTGAAACAGTGGTAAGGGATTTAAGCAGAGAAGTGGCATAATCAGATTTTTCTAAAGCATAAATCTAGTCACATAATCCTCTATGCAGGAATTGGTTCTCCATCAGAGGTAGTTCTACCTTCTTTGTCAAATATATTCCTCTCTTAAACAGTACCTCAAAAGGATACCTTATCTGAGGCTCTATAAAAGTAACAATTGAAATTAGTGTTGATTGAGATAGAATCTAATCCAAAGAAAGGAATGCACCATTTTACCAATAATTGACTTTACTATTGCATATTATATAAAGTATATATATATATATATATATTTGTTGTACACAGCAATGTTATGGAACGTATAGCTTAACTACTAATGTCTTAGCCAAGACCTGCAAGGAGATTCTCACCCAGGTTCTCTGGGTCCTCTTCTGACATCTGGGTTCTCATCTGTTTTGCTGTTCCATTCTGGTCCGTATCCCATTCTAAAACATTTGGTTCTGTGCCAATATGCTCAGTTTCTTGTGTCAAAGCTGACAGACTGACTACAGAGGGTGTTTGTTCTGTGTCTCCAAGGTCTCATAGTTCCCTCTTTGAAGTAAAGCTTTTAGCTATTTCTATAGCTCTAGTTATTCCTGTTTATGTTTGGAACCACACATAACAAATCCCAGAAAGCAGACAATTCAGTTCTATTATAACATAAAATTTAGCTCTACCCGAATAAAAGCCTACTATAAAATTACACTGCAACATAACACTGAAATTGCCAGGCAATGACTGTGGCAGTTGCATTGGGAAGATTGAGGTATCTAGGAATAAAGATAGTTACTTCTAGGATAAATGCTTCCCAGTCAGCTTTCCCGTACTATTCCCAAACCATTACTGGGAGCTTAATTCCATTCTCTACTATCAAACATCTCTTGGCAGCAATATCTGGCATCAAATTTGTCCCATTGCTGGCTGGGCACGTTGGCTCATGCCTGTAATCCCAGCATTTTGGGAGGCCAAGGCAGGCAGATCACTTGAGGTCAGGAATTCAAGGCCAGCCTGGCCAGCATGGTAAAACCCCACCTCTACTAAAAATATTTAAAAAATCAGCCGGGCGTGGTAGCACACATCCGTAATCCCAGCTACCCAGGAGACTGAGGCAGTAGACTCACTTGAGCCTAGGAGGTGGAAGTTGCGGTGAACTGAGATCATGCCATTGTACTCCAGCCTGGGTGACAGAGTGAGACCCTGTCTCAAAAAAAAAAAAAAATTGTTGCTTCATCTCCCAAATTTTGCTATATGGTTTCGTGTTTTTTTATAAGTGGGTTCAAGTTTCTTTAAATGTAGGTTACACATCTAGGAACATGTAACAGAAGTCCTAGATCTAAAGGAAGTTCTAAGAGTTAAGTAATCCAAAACTTAACCTCTAATACTAAACATTTTAAATTATTTTATATTTTAATTTGTCCCATAAGTTTACATTCCTCCAGTCAAAACCCTCTTCCCTTCCTTACTTTAGAAGTAGAGATAGACAAGAAGGTACACCTGGAGGCAGAAAGAATTAAGGGAAAAAATAAAAAGAAAATAAAAAGAAAAAAAAGAACTAATTTTATTTTCCTTTTTTTTTTTTTTTGAGATGGAGTCTTGCTCTGTCGCTAGGCTGGAGTGCAGTGGTGCAATCTCAGCTCACTGCAACCTCCACCTCCCGGGTTCAAGCCATTTTCCTGCTTCAGCCTCCCGAGTAGCTAGGGTTACAGGCATGCACCACCATGCGCAGCTAATTGTTGTATTTTTAGTAGAGATGGGGTTTCACCATGTTGGCCAGGATAATCTCAATCTCTTGACCTCATGATCCGCCCGCCTCAGCCTCTCAAAGTGCTGGGATTATAGGCGTGAGCCACCACGCCTGGCCTCTTTTTGAAAGATAAATTTTTGCTGGAAATAATGTCTCCCAATATCTGGTCACCGCCCAATCTATATCAGAATTTCTTGAGGCTCCACCTATAACTACAGATTATTGAGGAGCCACCGTAGAGTCACTGAATCAGAATAGCTGGGAGTGAAGGCATTTTTAACAAGCAATGTTTGTATGTGAATAAAAGATTTAAAACAACTAATATAAACATTGTCTCTATAATGTTTAAATATTTATAAATACACCTTACTGCCCTTGTTTCGTCTTTATAATTTTCACAAGTGGTACTTTCTTCTCAAATAAAGTGCCTGGTGTAAAGCTGACAAATGTATTAATTTACTGAATGACTACTGTAAACAGAAAAGGTACAAAATAACAGGAACACTTGTCCCTGTGAAGTCAATCATCCAATGAAGAAAAAAGACAAACATAAATGAAAAAGACTTAGCTAGTGTATGGGTAGTATACTGGCATAAAAGCAGATATAGTTTGCACAAGTATTTATGAGCTTAGAAAAGCAAGGCTGGAAGTGGAAAAATCAAGTAGGCATCATTGAATGCTTTACTCAGGGAGATAAGGAATTTTAATCAGGAGTTTTGAATAATGAAGGGTAATTTAAAAGCCACTACAATGTGGTAGAACAACCTCTGGCCAAGAAATTGGAAGGATGTCATAGTCCCAGCTCTACAACTGTGTGATGTTGAGCTAGTCTTTTACATTTTTAAATTCTGTTTTCTCAGTTGCATAATCAAGGCCAGTCTTTGTTTCTTTATGCTCCCACCTCATTTGAGAAAAGACTAAAGCACGGAAGATATACAAGATTTCTTCAGGAGCACATATTTGATGACTTTACAACTCAAAACCTCACAACCACAAAACACAAAAAGGAAATATTAACAAATGCAAATTGAAACCTACTACTGTTAAAAGGCAATCATTCTGTGTACACATCTCATAACTGTGAGATTATATAGAGATAAGATCCAGTCAGAATTCTTAGTGGTTGTATGTGGTCTAGAATGTCTCTGGTGAGCTCTGCCAGGGGTACAGCTCTGGTAAAACCATAGAGACCCAATCAGAGACATCCATGTGTTTGATGCAATGGTATTTTGCCCAGCAGTTTCTTCATAGCATCTTTGACTTCCTTGTTTCTTAAACTGTAAATTATGGGGTTCAACATAGGGGTAAGCACTCCATAAAGTAATGAGATGATTTTGTCTATTTTTTGTGAGTTTGATGAAGATGGCTTTAGGTACATAGAGAGGGCAGCCCCATAATACAAGATCACCACAGTCAAATGGGCACCACAGGTAGAAAAAGCTTTGTTTCTTCCCTCTGCTGAGCTGATTCTCAGAATAGTGGAAAGGATGAAGATGTAAGAGATACAAATTAAGAGCATTGGAATTGGCAACAAGAGAATGCTGACCACCAGCATGATCATGTCCATGAGCAGTGAACTTGCGCAAGCTAACTTTAGCACTGCCAGAATTTCACAGGTGAAGTGATCAATGAGATTCCCACAGAGGGGTATCTGCAGGGCGAAACTGGTTTCCAGCAGGGCAGTCAGGCAACCCATCATCCAGGAGACCGTGGCCATCTGCGCACAGACCCGCCTGTTCATGATGATGAAGTATCTCAGCGGGTTGCAAATGGCCACATAACGGTCATATGCCATCACGGCCAGGAGCACACACTCCGTGGAGCCCATGGCAAGGGAAAGATACATCTGTACAGCACAACCAGAAAAGATAATGGTTTTCTGGGATGACAGCAAACTTACCAGCAAAGTAGGAATTGAGGCAGATGTGTAACAAATATCCATGAAAGAGAGATTTCCAAGGAATAAGTACATGGGGGTTTTAAGGCGTGAATCTAGGATAGTGATTAAAATAAGAGTGCTGTTGCCCAAGAGCGTTGTCAGATACATTACAAGGCTGAAGATGAAGAGAACCACCTCTAACCTTGGGTACTGGGAAAATCCTGCCAAGAAAAAAATGCTCCAAATGGTGAAATTTTCTCCTTGCATTTTCTTTCTTTCATCTGTATTTATTCCAGTACTATTCCCTTCATTTAATCTGAGGACATAAAAAAATGAATAAAGTGTGATATTCATTTGAAAAATACTTTCAAATTTATTTTTACTATTATAAATGTAATTTTACTATAAGAAATCACAGGATAGTGTATTTATTGATGTAAGGGGGAAAAGCAGGTTTGATCTATATAAGTTGATTCTTCCACAACAAAATTTAGATAACAGTGAATTTTAAAAAAGAATATATATATTTAATACTTGAATCTGAGCTCCTAAACCTATCCTTGGCACACAGTAGGACTTTAATAAAGATTTGAAAGTGACTGAATGAGGAAAAATATAAATGTATACTGAATAAGTTATTGAGTTCAAATCAGAAAAGTAATCCAGATAAGTGAAAAAAGAAATCTCAAATATACAATAAAAAGCAATATTGATCTTCACCAAAACAAGAGGAGGAACCTTGAAAGATGCAAATAAAATAAATTTTAGGCCGGGCACAGTGGCTCATGCCTGCAATCCCAGCACTTTGGGAAGTCAAAGGGGTTGGACTGCTTGAGCTCAGGAGTTAGACCAGCCTGGGCAACATGATGGTTAAATCCTTCCCGTCTCTAGGAAAAATACGAAAAGTAGCCAGATGTGGTGGTGCATGTCTGTGGTCCTAGCTATTCAGGAGGCTGAGGCTGAGACTGGGAGGCAGAGGCTGCAATAAGCCAAGATTGCGCCACTGCACTCTAGCCTGGGTGACAGTGAGACTCTATCTCAAGTAAGTAAGTAAGCAAGTAAGTAAGTAAATAAATAAATAAATAAATAAATAAATAAATAAACCAGCTTCATAGTTGGAGGCTCTGGGTCTAAATAAGCTCTGTCCTTTCCCTCTAACAGTTTGGGGGGCTGTCTACTGGTTTCAAAAAGGACAACAATGCTCAAAGCACTGTAGATACTAATTTGTAGTTATATTTAAGAGCTAGTTTATGCCTCACAAAATAACCCACCCTCATTTAAATACTAATACATCCACTGTACAGTTTCATTCATTGTTGAGTCCCATATTATTGTGAGTGTGTAAAGAGTTCTAATAATTATAGCCAGGCAATACTTTAAAACCCATATACCTGGAAATGCAGAAACTAAACTCTCTTGGAAGATTATCATAAGATCTTTTTGAAAATAGATTACAGAGCATATAGTTATAAATAAGAACATTGGAATTGGCAAGAGAAGAATGTTGGCCGCCATCATGATCATATCCAGGGATCCACAGAGGGGTCACTGCAGGGCAAAACTGATTTCTAGCAGGGCAGTCAGAAACTTAAAGTTTTATTTTTTTCTTACGTTTCACATTATTAATGAAAAACTATTACAGAAACTTACCTTGCTCCTAAACTCATATTGCCTTTTAATAAACCTTCAACCTTTTTCTTTCTCCACTGAGTCTTTCCTATTTTCAAATATACATGTTCTTAAAAATTGCCTTCATCTTATAAATTTTTCTGCCAAATTTTATATTTAATAGATTTCTCTAATAAAATTATTAGATTATAAAAGATTACTTCAAAGAAGCTTAATTTTTATACTACTGTTAAGACTAACAAGCACAAAAGTTTTCAAATGAAAAAATCAGAAAATAGCAAATCCCAGGTAGCTGGGCTATTATTTAAAAAGTAACAGTAGCCAAGAAGAATTGATCCTCCCATCTGAATTCCCTGTCACCAACTTCAAATAAAATGTTGTTTTATGATGCACTTCGTAAAGTTAACTATGTTCAAGAAATAATAAATTAATCCACACTTTAAAATGTTAAATGTTATGTAAAAATCAATAGTGCAATTCATTTCTTTCAAAATTATTAGCTTTACCACCACAACTAAAAATGTCAAAGGATAGCAACTGGAATATTAGGTAAATTTAAATCATTTGTTGTTTTAGGGGAATACCTGTTGTCCCTAAACAATTTAAAGTTCAGCAGCTAAGATACAGAGAGGTTTGAAACTTCAGATCCTTCAGGGATATTGTCCCAAAGATCCAATTATATTGATCTTTTAAAAAGCTAGAGAGTGAACCACATAGTTCCTCCAAAACACTTTGGAAAAACTCAGAAAACAAAGTTTTCTATTCGCTTGCTTCTTGTCAATCCTTAGCTATGTCAAGATTTTTTTTCATGAATGATTTCAATGTAAAATACTTAACAGAATACAGAGAAAAGATGTCCCTACAATACTAAGACACATTTTGTGCATTAGTGAAATTACTTCCTAGTTTTCAGAAATTAGGGAAAGAACATTTACTTTTTAAAGACACAGAGAAATCACTGACTGTCCCAACAAGTGATCAGAAATGTTATTCAATATACACACACTGAGAGGATCATAAAGCAAGAAAACGTTGGTGGTAATGGGCATATCCTAGATCTTAGTTTGTTTTGTTTTTGAGACAGGGTCTGGCTTTGTTGCCCAGGCTGGAGTGCAGTAGCATGATGTCGACTCACTGCAACCACCACCTCCCAGGTTCAAGTCATTCTCCTGCCTCAGCCTCCTGAGTAGCTGGGACTACAGGTGCGTGCTACCACACAGGGCTAATTTTTGTATTTTTGGTAGAGACGGGGTTTCACCATGTTGGCCAGACTGTTCTCAAACTCCTGAGATCAAGCGATCCACCCACCTGCGGCCTCCCAAAGTGCTGGGATTACAAGTGTAAGCCACTATGCCCAGCCACAGATATTCATTTCTAAACACCATTCTCAACTAGAAGGAAACATGGCTCCTTGTGAAGATAACTAATACCAGAACTAGGTTAGGGAAAGAACAAGATTAACTTAGAGAATCTTATTGTACCAGAAACTAAGAAATATGCAAAGAGTGGTAGAGATGTAGTGAAGGGTCATAGACACCCACTTGATGAAGCTCCCATTGCTAAATTTAGGACAGATTATTCAAAGCATCAAAGTAAAAAATGACTGATCATAATTCACAGATAAAATAAAAATGTACAAGTTCATTATGATGTAAATAAATAATAGGAATAGAAAGCTCTTCCTCACAGTAAGATGCCAAGAAATAAATATAGAGGAATGATGTTAGAAAATAATCACAGTTAAGGGTTTTGTAGGCAATAGATTCCCACAGGTAAAATGTTGTATTAGATTGATGCAGCATTGTAGTTGTTGAAGGTAAAAGTTAGATGAACAGGATATTTACATGGTGTCAAAATATCTCACCACAAATTACTTTATAAGTTTAAAGATAAAATAATAACTTTACGGTGGGGAGACCTGGAGGATAATCATGTTAACATCACCAGTATTGGAACAAATAGACTCCATGTGCCTTCCGATATGAGGTACTGAGAATACACTATCACCTCTGTGGTACTTCCATCAAAATTAAATCACCCGAATCTAACCATGAGTGCAAACCAGACAAACCTAAATTTAGGGATATTATGCAACATAATCAGCCTACACTTTTCAAAAGTACAGACGAGTCTCAAAAAAGGATATACAAATGGCCAAAAAAAATCAAAAAAATGCTCAACATTACAAATTATCAGGGAAATGCAAATCAAAACCACAATGCAATACCACCTTACTCCTGTAAGAATGGCCTTAATCAAAAAATAATGGATGTTGGCATGGATGGGATGAAAGGGAAACACTTTTACACTGCTGGTGGTAATGTAAACTAGTACAACCACTATGGAAAACAGTGTGAAGTTTCCTTAAAGAACTAAAAGTAGAACTACCATTTGATTCAGCAATACCACTTTTGGGTATCTACACAGAGGAAAAGAAGTCATCATACAAAAAAAGATACTTGCATGCATATCTTTATAGCAGTATAATTCACAATTGCAAAAATACGGAACCAGCCCAAATGCCCAACGATCAATGAGTGGATAAAGAAAATGTGAGATACAGATATATATAATGGCATTTGCAGCCACCTGGATGGAATTGGAGATCCTTATTCTAAATGAAATAACTCAGGAATAGAAAACCAAACATCCTATGCTGTCACTCAAAAGTGGGAGCTAAGCTATGAGGATGCAAAGGCATAAGAATGACACAATGAACTTTGGGGACTTGGGGGAAAAGATAGGAGAGTGGGGGATAAAAGACAATATGCTGGGGATAGTGTAAACTGATAGGTGTACCAAAATCTCAGAAATCACCACTAAAGAACTTATCCATGTAACCAAACACTACCTGTTCCCCCATGACCTACTGAAATAAAAAAAAGAAGAAAAAATAAAATAATAAACTCCTAATTAAAAAAAAAAAAAGTGTCACAATCAATCAGGAAACAAAAAGAGAAACCAAGAAAATGTTCCATACCTGAAAGAGATAGGACAACTAAATACAATACATGCCCCAGCACTGAAGCTTAGATCAGGAAAAACTGGGCTATAACCAACATTATTAGGACAATCGACAACATTTGAATATGGGCTGGCGATTAGATAGTAGCAGTCTATCAATATCAAATTTCCTGATCTTGATCACTGTACTATGGTTATGTAAGATAATGCTCTTGTTCTTAGGATATACAGACTGAAGCATTTAGTGTTAAAGGAGGAAAATCTCTAAAGAATGTGGGAAAGGCTTTACCTTCTCCTCAACTTTTAATACTCATAAGAGGATTCATACTGGAGAGAAATCCTACAAATGTGAAGAATGTGACAAAGCTTGTAAGTGGTCCTCACGTCTATCTAATCATAAGATAATTCATACTGGAGAGAAACCCTACAAATGTGAATAATGTGGCAAAGTCCAGCCCTCAGGCCTTCTAATACATAAAATAATTATACTGGACAAAATTACTACAAGTGTGGAGAAAAAATTACTGGCAAACCTTTAACCAGTTCCAAGCCTTTATTGTACCTGAGATAATTCATATTAGACAAAAATCACATAAACATAAAAAAGTAACAAAGCCTTTAACTAGCCCTCAAACCTTAATGAACCTAAGAGAATGTATTTTAAAAACATTTTTTTGAGATGGAATCTCACTTCGTCACCCAGGATGGAGTGCAGTGGCACGGTTTTGGGTCGCTGCAAC